AGTCGCGGCCAGCGAATTGACTCCATACCATTGCTTCCGGCACAGAAGGGACTAGAGATAGGACCTATCCTACTTCCCGAAAAGGTATTGCTATCTCGAAACCCTGTGCTCCATTTATAATGTGACTAATATGCTATATAGCCCGTAGTTGTTAAGAATGTAACGGCGATATAAAATTTTACGTCGTTAATATTAATAGTGGCCGGGAGAGCCTTATTGGATATAATATATCTCTTGACCTATGCTGATAATTTGGCTATCCCTTTTTTTAAGAAATAGGGTTTTATAAAGGAGATTGCGTTAGATGACTTAATTTGGAGGAGGTATATAAAAGACTATGAGGGCGGAACTCTTATACGGTGCTCTATGCTCCTAAGGATTCGCTACCTAGAGGTAGGCTATATGCTTCTTAAGTAGAAGAAATATATCTATGCTAAACTATGGGCTTTTAGTAAGAGCTATGTAGTATATTAACCTCCGAAATAGTGGGAGAATAGCCTCGCTTATATTAACCCCCTATCTATTAATATAATCTAGGCGTTAGGCTGGTCCCCTGAGATAGATAAGATGACTAGGCAACCCCACCACGGTCTAAACTATAAGTAGCTATTATATCTCTTAAATAACCTCTAGAACTATTAGTAATTGTGGCTATTCCGGTAGCCTATTAGGGAGGATAATGTTGCTGACTATGATGAAGTCATTAAGGCACTAATAGACCTTAATACTATGGAGGCCAGGCTAGAAGCGGAGCAATATATAACACCTAAGGATTTTGTTTAATATACCTAGCTCATTGTCGATAACTGCCGGCAACTGCCGGTAATTCAATGCCCAAAAATCGCCGTATGTGAAGTATGCTAATAAGTTAGAGAAGTATATATAGCGATAGATACGCATAATCTCGGAATAGTTCTATTTAGACTAATATGATAGCTTAACTTAGTTAAATTGAGGTACTATAGATATTGGTTTTCGTCTATGAGTCTATCGGCATAGACTGCACAGTATGCGACCCATGCCTCTATGTTCTGCTAATGTAGCGGCTTTAAGTATGGCTATGTAAGAGCCGGGGAGGATATTTATAACTGGGAAAAGATTCTCTGCGAATTGGTTATAGATTGGATAATACTTCTAAGAAGATTATCTCTATTCTAATCTTAGTAATATAGATCTAATAAGTGCCTTTGATAAATTATTGTAATTTTCTAAAAGCTCCTAGAACTCCTTATTCTCTTATAAATGCTTAATAATATACGTGGCATAATGGACTAGAAGCTATCTTAATTTCTCTAGAATTAGCTCCTTGAAACTAAATCGTAATAGTGCTAAGATCTTACTAATGCTATCTTTATTTATCTCTAGGTTTATTAAGGCTTTGTAAAGCTTCTAAAAGGAAATGTTTATTATTTGGATGATTCTATAGCGGTCTCCGAGTATATAGACTCGAGTATTGAGTTAGGGGAAAAGCGTGCTAAGCCATTTTGGGCTGCAGAGCAATTTCTTGTACGTAGAAAAGGAGGCAGAGGCCACAGAGCCTCACCTTCATCATTACTTTCGCTAGCTTCGAGCAGAGGACTTTTAGGCTCCTTTGAGGGTCATATCTTTATTGCTATTAATTAATTAATTACTCTTACTATTTTATATTGAATTTGCCTCACGAGAAAGTGCGTGAGATCTCTCTTTTAAAAAGACCTTAAAGAAAAGCTATATGGCAAATCCCTCCTTTGGCTGTATGGTTTGGTGTATTCTGTTTATCTAACAAAATATATCAAGTAATAATAATATTTAAATATAACCTATATAATAAAATAAGGTAATTTATTCCTTATAAAGATCCTAGAGTAGAATAAATAATATCTAAATAATAAAAAAATAAATAAGTAATAAATACTAAAGGAATTATAATATAACTTTATATATAAAATATATAATTATTAATTATATAAATACTAAGGAATTAATAAAACCTTAGAATAAATTAAGATAATATATATTTTTCTTAATATAAAGAAAAATATTTTAATAATTATTAATTAATATAAGTTTTATATAAAAACTAAGGTATAATATTATAAGCTATATAGTAAATTATAACCCTTATCGGTACCTTAGCTATTATAAGAAGCTATTATAATAGATTTTATTATAAAATTACCCCTATTAAAAGAATTAACTATTAAAAACTTCTATAATAATATTCTTATTATTATAAATAGATTTATAAAATTTTCTTATTTTATACCTTATAGAGAATTAATAATAATAAAAGAATTTACTTACTTTTTTTACTTCTATATCGCTAAGATATATAATATATTACTAGAGATTATTATAAATCGAGGATTATTATTTACTTTAAAATTCTAATAAAGCCTTATAGGATACTTAAGAATTAACTATAAGCTCTTTATTATATATTATAAAGAAATAAAGAAATAAATAAAATATATAAATTAAATACTAAAATAATACCTTTAATATTATATTAATTATAAATAAACTAATTAAATTAAAAAGCTATTAGCTACCTAGCTAGCCTATAATATAGTAATTAATAAAAGCATAAAGATTATATTAGCTTATATTAACTTTAGATTTACCCTAGATATCTATTAATAATCCTAAGATATTATTATTAACTTAAAAGCTATTTTTATTAATAATTAATTAAAGAACTTATATAAAGAAATATAAATAAAACTTAAATTTATTAAGAATAAAATAATAACCTATATTAATAAGAAAAAGATTAAAAGATTAACTTTCTTAAAGGGAAATATAATCTACCTAATAATAAAAAATATTAAAATAAAATAATAAAATAAAAAACTTAATTATAAATATATTAGACTTTATAAAGTTAAATAAAAAATCTTAAAATATAATTATAAATTAGACTTATTACCTAAGGTTAAGCTTTATTTAATCTTTTATATCTTATTATTTAAATTAATATAAAATACTATCTAAGTAAAAATAAATAATAAACCTAATATAGAAGTTAATAAACTAAAAAAATATATTATAAAAGCTATTTTTAATATAAATAAAATTAATAATATAATATATTTTATTAAATAAAAAAATTACCTTAACTTAGAAAATATATAAGAACCCTTAGAATAATTTATTAATATATAATATTTTTTAAAGAATTTCTATTAATAATATTCAATAAAAATAAAATAGACTTAAGAATAATACTCTAATTAATAACCTTATAATCTTCTAATAATTAAACCTTAAATAAAGCCTAAGCCTCTAAATTATAATAAGCCTCTTTATTGTGATACTTTACCTTATCTAGCTTATTTAAGTCCTTGTAATTATAATAAATTATCTTAATAGCCTTCTTATAAAGATATTTCTCTTAATAATAAAGCTATTATAAGCGAGATAAGGCCTCTAGAAGGTCTACCTTAGCTTTCTCTTTTTATTCTTTAAGATAATCTTTCTCTTAAGAAATATAAGTAATTAAAATATATTAGTATATACCTATTACTAAGGAAAATACTAACCTATAAGCTTATAAAGAAATACCGCTAAAATTATAATTTATATATTTTTTCTCGATATAAAAATTATAATATTATTTCCCTTTAGTTACTATATATAGATAGTAATTAATATAGAAGTATATAGAATACTAAGGTATCTTAAAACTAAATTTATTAATTAAATAAAAAAGGTTATTATAGCATATAGTAGTAAATTTAAGATACAAAGATGATTTTTTAATATAACCTAATATTATATTAATAAAGGGAATAATTATAAATCTAAGTTACTTATAGCGATACTTAGTCTCTAAAGCTAGCCTTAGGGATAAGACTAATAGAGAGGGAGCCTTATATTATAGCTATAATATAATTAAGGGCAATAATATTAGGTAAGAAACTAACCCTATTATATTAATTAATTATAGGGAAAGAAGATATATAAGTTAAATAAAGTTAATTTAATTTCTCTTAACTATATAAATTAAATATTAATAAATCCCTTAGGAAATATCCTCTCGTCATAATAGCGGGGTCTCAGTCAAAGGTTAGGCTAACCTTTAGTTTTGTTCTTCCTCGGGCATAACCTCTCTCTACGGGCTCGCCCGTAACAACCAGCAAGCTTATTTGACCGGTATGCTTATCATGCACGTTATTGTGGTAAGTTATCGTCCCCCCCCCCCTTTCAGAAGTATATTTTTTCTTTTCGAGTGAAGGGCCCCTTTTGCTGGTCAGTGCGCCCCCGTGGGAGCGGCAGCTCTCACGGGGTTGCCGAATTGGAGGCTCCCACAAGTAAACTAACTTTACCACCGTCCACTGTATGTAGCCCTCTCGGGAACGCACATGTCGTCGGACAGGATTGCAAGACCAATAGATGGTCACCATAGCATTCTTTCCCTGAGAGACAGCTTTCGTCTGCTGTAGGTGATGCACAATGTTAGCGACACCTAAGCCAGAGATGGTGACAGAGAAGTATTGACATTTGGGCTGGCCGAGGTCGTCAAGCTAGCAAGCCCACAAAAGGTCAAAGCACAACCCCAACTAATAGCCTCCCGCGGAACCCCAATCTCCTTGCTTGCGCGAAGACTACCATCGCGTACTCGCCCCACTGCTAAGGCACTATCTAAGTGCCTGCTATATCATGCAGGAGGCTGTTATGATTATATTACAACCAGAGCGTGTGAGCTCAGGCGCTAACCGTAATTGGTTTAGATCCTTGCAAAGTACGCATTGGTAGTCTTCGCGCAAGCAAGGAGATGGGGTCCTCGCAAGCATATAAATGACTCGCGATGGTGGCGTTCCGGGGCAGTCAAGGTTGCACCCGAACCCTGGCCTCCCCGCAAAGCGGCACATGGAGAGCCGTGGCGCAAGTAGACTTTGGCACGTAAATTAATTCTTCGTAATCAAATACGGAGGTTGCGTACAAAGAGACGGAGCCCCCCCCGCAGCGTCGCGTTCAGTCTTGTCGATCTGTCCATGCTCGCCTGAATTATTACTGCCATGGGCCTCCAGCACCGTCTAACACTTGGGTTAGGTGTCTTTGTCTCATTTTTTATATCAGCAGCGCTTGCACGAGACGCCGATTCACCTAGCTTGTCCGAGTATCCCGACTGTGCAGTACGGCGCACCCCCCGCTCCAAGTTCGCTCCCTGACAAGCTCCTCTAGGCGGAATGCATCGCCGACGCCCTCCAAGGAGGCTTCTGCGCCCCCAGTAACCAGACATGCCTATGTACAGACCAAGGGTTTCAGCAGAACCTCACCACTTGCGTGTCTGCGGGCTGTACCATACCCGAAGCATTGGGTGCGTATCTTTGCAAACCACTCTGTCCATCTTTGCTAATGCCAGCTATTCCTCCAGCGGCCCAGAATTCGAGTTTAGCAGCGTGCGGTGCTCCGATACGTGACCGCGCGCAACAGTTCGTCCACCTCACTAACGCCCTCGCTATAATAACGGGAGTCTTTGTTGCCGTTCGATTTGGATACAAGATGATCGTGTCGACTGTCCGCCTGGGTATAGACGACTGGCTAGTGCTGGCAAGCATGCTCTCCTTTGTCCCCACCGCTGTCATCACTGTCTATGGCACAACGCCCAATGGCCTCGGCAAAGATATTTGGACTCTCACGCCTTCTAGCATCACGGCAATAACTCGGTTTTGCTACTTCCTAGGTATCCTTTACTTCGTGCAGATAGCGTTTGTGAAACTATCCATTATTAGCTTCTACATACGCATCTTCCCTGCTCAGGAAACCCAACGCCTGCTCTGGGGTACCTTTATATTCACCTCGGTATGGGGATTTGCGTTTGTCCTTGTCGATATCTTTTCCTGCCGGCCTATCTCGTACTTCTGGCACCAGTGGGATGGACTCCACGAGGGTACATGTACCGATTCAAACGCTACTCTATGGTCACACGCGAGCTTCAGTGTCGCCCTGGACTTTTGGATCCTCGCCGTGCCTCTGTGGCAGTTGCGAAGTCTTCAGCTTCACTGGAAAAAGAAGCTCAGTGTAGCTATCATGTTCAGCGTTGGCACCCTGTAAGTCGCCTACCACATCAACCCCTACTATAGAGATGATGGCTGTTGACTCCCCCCTTAGAGTGACTATCGTGAGTATTGTTCGTTTCCAGGCGTTAGTGCACTACGGAAAGTCCATGAATAAGACATGGGAGCTATACAACGTGTCTATCTGGTCCACCATCGAGATCACCGTTGGCATCATATGCGCCTGTCTTCCCACCATCCGCGTAGTTCTCGTCAGAATCTTCCCCATTCTGTCCACCGCTTCGGCGCAACACAGCAGAGGCAATCAATACAACGAGCAGAGCAACGGCCCTCAGCACACGGGTAGCAGAGCGCGGGCCCAAACGGTTGCAACCGTCAGCGCTGATCGACCGAATTCCGAAGAGGAGCACGACGTGGAAGCCCCGGGCATTATTTTCCACAAGACTTACCGTTTGCGATACAGCGAGAGTGATGAGATCGCCCTCGTTCCTTTAAGGCCACACGAAGAGGGGAAGCAGTGATGCCTTGGGGAGAAATCAGAGTCTAGGTTGAGAGGAAGCCGTTGAATATGGTGAAGATATGTGGATAACTTAGGACACCTATCTAATAACTTGTAATACCATGACTTTTCGTAATCTACCTAATGACCCGCTGCTTTGTTGTTGATGATGACACTTCTTTTTTCTTAAGACCGCCACTTCTGTTACCACCACGCGGCACCAAGCTTGATGTCAATGTCGTGTTTTAAATCCCGTCTACTGTTACGGCATCTAACACGCATTCACTATGGTACGAGACGTGCCGCGACCCGTACCTATCCCATGAGTGCCCAAGGACCTCCAAGCAAGTACCCCAAGGGGGGTGAGACCAATCAAATCACTTAATAGAGACAGTGCATCATCCTCATCTCAACTCGGCCTTAGGAGTAAGTACTGAGATCATAAGGGCGTAGCAGCTAGACCTCCTGCATCACCCACTAATTGTTAACGGAATAACACTGGAGCGAGGTACGGCTTGGAGGTCCTTGGGCACTCATGGGATTGAGCTGGGGGAAAAAGGTGCTAAGCCGTTTTGGGCCATTAGGCAATTTCCTGTACGTAGAAAAGGGTCAGAGGCCAAGATGCCTTCAACCATCATCATCGCATTCGTCACGGTCAACGAGAAAGGAGCAGCTTTTGGGCTCTTTCTCTGACCAAATCTTCATTACTATCAATTGATTAATTGCCCTTACAATTTTATATTATGTTTGCCTCACCGAGAACTGCGTGAGATCCCTCTTTGGAAGTCCCAGAGAAGAGTCGCGAAACATACGATCTAGCTGTGGTTAGTGTGTTCTATTTCTCCAACAAACTATGAGCCTCAAATACCATATCACGGATAGCTCAAGAAAAGGAACCCGCTAGATTGATAGGGATCATGGCAACACAATAATCAATTCCGACTTACTCGGACCAGACAAGGAATAATAGTTAAACAGGTTCGTGTGCCGTTTCCAAGACGAAGAATAGATCCCTGATCCTTGCACTTATTTATCACCTGTTGGCTTGCCTATGGGGCGTTAAGTTTCACAATGATTCATTTAAAATAATAGGCCCGCTAAGAGTCTTTGCAGGAGCTTTCTCCATAAGAGGCTATGCAAAGCCAGCCGACCACAGTTACCATTTCATAACTCCCTGGCTATTCCTTGCTTCCTTAACGATTTTGCCCCATCTCTCATGTCTGCCTAATCTTTTCGATAAGATGGCATCACAAATGTCCTTGATTTATCCTGTCTTCGTACGTATGGCTTAATAACCATAGAGTAACAACTTTGCACTAGTTCCTTGCCACCCTTGTGAAGCGAGCGTATCTTACAATGCCTCGACACTCATATTCCCCTCAAACACTCACTATGATGCTTGTTAGTGGAGTTGACCACTGCCCCAATGGCATATTCTCCTAGGGCATCCCTAGTTACTCTGACATCGATTCTTAGCGTCCACAGGGGCTTGGCCAATAGAACCATCCCATTTGCCAGCTCCTGACCCCCTCGCCACCTGCGCTGAGGCCCTTTCGTGTTGAATGCTATGTCTGAGCCTGCTGTCTAACCCAAGTCTAACCTCACCAATCTCACCGAGACCGAGTTTCGCGGCCTAGCCACCGGCATAGCTAACTTCATTATCATTAGGCAACCGGAAAAGGGAGATGCGTATAATATTGGAAGAACTGAGAGTTCCCCCTTGTGATGATCGTGGGTGATTCCTAAGGGATAAACCGGTCGTGCTGGTTTATGTTGGCACTAGATTATATTATATAGCCTTAAAAGGTAATATAATATTATATCTAGTAATATACTTAAGGGTATTAAGTATAACTAAGTTATATTAATAGCTAAGGTAGCTACTATATAAGAAAATATACATAGGTATATATTATATATTAAGCTAGCTATAAAGGGACTATAGTTATCTTAGGATTATTATAATCCTTAGATTATAATAATCCTAGGATTATAGTAATCTAACTTTAATAATAATCCTTCTTTAATTAGTATTAGTGCCTAGGTATAGGGTAATTATATATATAATAGAGGTTAAGTATATATTAGGTTATAATATAATATCTCCCCTTTTAAGGCCTTACCTATAAGGCTATTTAAGTAGCTATTTTTTATTTTTTTATTTATAGGTATAATTTAAATTTATAATTATTTTAGGATATTATATTAATAAAATATCTAATTATATTTCTAAATATCTAAATTAAAAAACTAAAGAGTATTAATTCTTAGCCATGAGTATTAAATTATCGCGTGAATTTATAGATATACTATATTTATATTATTTTAAGTATTAAAAGGAGTATTTAATAATAGAGGGTTCCTTATAGTATAATAAGTATATATAGCGGGGCTATTCTTATAATAAGACGCGGGTTATAAATTCTTATAAGTCTTAGGTTCTTTTCTTCGGGGTAGCTCGTTTTATTAATATATAGGATAATATATTACTTAATTTTATAAGAGAAAAAATTAAAGGAGGATAAAGAAAAGGCTAATATTAATTTATTATAATTTTATAAGGAATTAATAGAATTATAAATAAAGATAGTATTAGCTATAAGTTACCTATTATAATTATAAAAAACTAAGAACTTAGTTAAGGAGTATTAGGCTATTAAGTTCTAGTAGGGGATCTAAGGTCTTAAGGGTAAAGATTATCTAATAGAGGAGCTAAGTTATCGCGAAGAATCTATCTATAAGGAGCTATAA